GTGTCGCAGGTGTTAAATCGTTTGACATACGCATCCACCCTCTCACACTTGAGAAGACTGAATTCTCCAATAGGGCGTGAAGGTAAAACCACTTTCTGCTTTCTGGCTTCTGCTGTGTTTTGCACTGTTATGTTTCAAATGTAAGGGCTTTGGATCAACCCTCTCTTCACCAATCCTCTCCCACTCAAATGACTGAATCAACCTTCCTAATGCCAGTCCAGTCAACCTGTTTGCTAGCCCAGCGCTAGGGCATCCTCGTCTTCCAGCCCCATATGCAATTAGCTTACATCCTCCTCCTTCATCACTCCATCCCTCACACCACTCCGACCTAAACTTTGTAGCGTCCTCTCACATCTCAGGGTCCTTATGGTTATAAGGTCTTTGGATTGCAGTTATAAGCCTCATCTGTGGTGTAAGGTCAAAACCTGTAGCGTCTATTTTTTCCCAATCATCTTATTGCTACTGCTATCTGTGGTCCCGTCCTTCCCTTGAACTAAAGGTTTCTTTTTTCAGGGAAATTGGCTAAACCACGTCAGCTGCATAATTCGCAATGGGGAATGATGTGCCCAGCTGAAACACCTGAAGGCCAAGTGAGTATCACATTTTAAAAGTTCTAAGTCTGCAAGTTACCTTGAGAAACCCTTTCATTCTGTACATGGCACTTAAATCTTAGTTTGTCTGTTAAACCAGGCGTGCGGGCTTGTCAAGAATCTTGCATTGATGGTATACATAACGGTAGGATCAGCTGCATATCCAATCTTGGAATTTTTGGAAGAATGGGGTACAGAAAACTTTGAGGTTTGTTCTATTAGTTGTAATGGATTCTGATCTGTGCTTTCTTTATTTCTTTAGTTTAACAAGCATCTTTATCTTGGCTGTAGGAAATTTCTCCTGCGGTTATACCCCAAGCTACAAAAATTTTTGTGAACGGCTGTTGGGTTGGAATCCATCGTGATCCTGAAATGTTGGTGAGAACATTAAGAAAGCTAAGGCGACGGGTGAGTATCTCTTTTATTTATTTCTTTAAAATTGTAAATTTGGGTAGATATGTGCCAAAAGAACAATGCTCAATCTGCAACATTCAAAACATTGGCTTTTTAATCAGAGTCTATATTTTTTCCCCATTCTTTTCTTCCTCTTTTCCTTTTCACCTTGTGCTTTGGTCTTACTGCCCAATCTTATAGCATGTGCTTATAACCATTCTGACTAGTAACTTTCCACGTTCAAATGTCACAATAAATGTTACAGATGCTGATTACTCTGTACTTGTGCAGGTTGATGTCAACACTGAAGTTGGGGTTGTGAGGGATATCCGTCTGAAAGAATTGCGGATATATACTGACTATGGCCGTTGCAGTCGTCCATTATTCATTGTGGACAAACAGAGGCTTCTCATAAAGAAGGGAGATATTCATGCATTGCAGCAGAGGGTGAGCTAGCAGAAATCTTCTATTTAATTTCTTTTGAACTTCCAATGTTTACATCAATCTACCCTTATATTCTTTCAGGAAAGCCCTGAAGATGCTGGTTGGCATGACCTTGTAGCGAAGGGATATATTGAATATATTGACACTGAAGAAGAGGAGACTACAATGATTTCCATGACAATTAATGTTAGTAGTTCTTTCTGGAAAAATTCATCTGGGTTTTATTTGGATTATAAAGAGACGTGTAGAAGCTGTAGGGATTCATGATTCAATTTGGAAAAACTTGTGCGCAGGATCTTGTCCAGGCAAGACTCAATCCTGAGGAGGCATATTCGGACACTTATACACATTGTGAAATCCACCCATCACTTATTTTGGGTGTTTGTGCTTCTATTATACCATTTCCTGATCATAATCAGGTGATTTTGTTGTACAGGTGAATTTAATGTGTTTGATATGTTATTAAGTTATTATTTCATATATTTATTAGCTATTGTTGTGATCAGTCTCCACGTAATACGTATCAATCTGCTATGGGGAAGCAAGCTATGGGGATTTATGTCACCAATTATCAGTTCCGGATGGTATAATTTGGTTCCCACGTGTAACTAATTATTTTTTCTTCTATTGTATTGTTGAGCGTTACAGTTGATTAATGAGAAACTTCTTGTTGCTTCACTCAGGATACATTGGCGTATGTTTTATACTACCCTCAGAAACCGCTTGTCACCACACGAGCCATGGAGCATCTCCACTTCCGGCAGCTTCCCGCTGGCATCGTAAGTATTTAACTTTTGTTTTACTATTCCTCTCTCTTTTTGCTTTTCTAACTAAAGTCTGATGATGAATGTTTTCTTTGTCTTCCATTCCACATCAGAATGCTATTGTTGCCATTTCTTGTTATTCCGGTTATAACCAGGAAGATTCTGTCATTATGAATCAATCCTCTGTGGACCGTGGATTCTTCCGGTCACTATTCTTCCGATCTTATAGGTCAGTTTATCTGTAACAGCTATTTTGAATACAATCATTTATTTTCCTATAATGTTGCATCAATAACTTTTTCCCATCACAGGGACGAGGAGAAAAAGATGGGGACCCTTGTCAAAGAGGATTTTGGGCGTCCTGACAGAGCAAATACTATGGTGAGAATTTCAATTTTTAGCTTATGTTTCCAATGGTGCTGCTCATGTAGTATTGGACGCTATGCTAAGGTTTGAGTTTACAGGGTATGCGACATGGTTCTTATGACAAATTGGATGATGATGGTCTTGCTCCTCCTGTAAGTATATGTATATTTCTATTACTACGATTTTTTGTCAGACTATACCCTGAAATAAAGATGAACTAATTAAGTTCTCTTTGATACTTTAGGGAACTAGAGTTTCAGGTGAGGATGTCATCATAGGAAAGACCACACCCATGGCTCAGGACGAGGCTCCAGGGCAAGCGAGTTCGCGTTACACACGGCGTGACCACAGCATAAGCTTGCGCCACAGTGAAACCGGCATAGTTGATCAGGTTAGTTTTCATTTCAGTTCCCTCTCCCCTCTGCTTGCAGCTCTACTGCCTTCTTATCACAAGACTGGCATTTACTTTGTGTTTGTAGGTTCTACTGACGACCAATGCCGATGGGTTGCGGTTTGTCAAAGTAAGGGTGAGGTCTGTCAGAATACCACAGATTGGTGACAAATTCAGTAGCAGACATGGACAGAAAGGGACAGTGGGCATGACTTATACGCAGGAAGACATGCCATGGACTGTGGAAGGGGTCACACCCGATATAATCGTGAACCCACACGCTATTCCGTCTCGCTATGACAATTGGTCAGCTGATCGAGTGTATCATGGGGAAGGTTGCAGCTCACATGGGAAAGGAAGGAGATGCTACTCCTTTTACAGATGTGACGGTGAGTTGCACTTTCTCGTGAATTGAAACGTTTCTTTAGTTGCTTCTTTTGTTTTCCCTGGAAATTCTCACGTCTTATTATTTTCTTTGTTAGGTGGACAATATCAGTAAAGCTCTTCACAGTTGTGGTTATCAAATGCGTGGATTCGAGACCATGTATAATGGTCACACGGGCAGGCGGCTCAGTGCTATGATATTCCTTGGCCCCACATATTACCAAAGACTGAAGCACATGGTCGACGACAAGATCCATTCACGTGGACGGGGCCCAGTGCAGATCCTCACAAGGCAGCCTGCTGAGGGACGGTCTCGTGATGGTGGTCTACGATTTGGAGAAATGGAACGAGATTGCATGATTGCCCATGGTGCTGCTCACTTTCTGAAAGAAAGATTGTTCGACCAGAGTGATGCATATAGGGTTCATGTCTGCGAGCGTTGTGGGTTAATAGCTATTGCAAATCTCAAGAAGAATTCGTTTGAGTGCAGGGGTTGCAAGAACAAAACTGACATTGTTCAGGTACATCAATCTCTCTCTCATACGATACATGAATTCATGCCTACAGTTATAATATTGCTCTGATCCCGTTCTTACGGTAAGAGGTTAATGCTATCTGCTGCTTGTCTTATGTTCATGTAGGTTTACATTCCTTATGCCTGCAAGCTGCTATTCCAAGAGCTCATGTCGATGGCCATAGCGCCAAGAATGCTCACAAAGGACATAAAGCCGGCCAAAAACCAAAAGAAGAAAGGAGGCTGATATAGTTGAAGTTGATTGCGAAAACAGATACGTCCTTTGTTTTCCGATTCTTCGTCTAAACAAGCATGGAGTTGATGAATAGAGGCTTTACCACCATAATAATAGATACACGCCAGAGTTTCAAGAGGTCGAAGGCGACTCAGAAGTTCATCGGTTTCTGCCTCGGGCGGATTGGAAGACATTCATCAGAATCAGTAGATGTATTTTCATCGGATTCGAATGGCTTTGTGTTTGGAATCGGTTCAAACCTATTGTTTTCGTGTCGTTTTAAGTGGAGAGTTGGAACCTCCTAATTGTAATTTTTCTGTAGTTCCATCACATGAAATCATATAAATAAATACATAACATTTTGTGCGAGTAAATGTGTATTTTCCCAAGGTGTGCGACATGATCATTAAGCTAGGACTGGAAAAAAATACCCGAAAGAACTGAACTCGATCCAAACCTAGCCCTGTAATTTTTCTTGATAATCTTTTCTCAATCATTTTCAACGATTTTTACTCTCTATGGTCGGAATTCCTCTATCATTAAGATGTTTTAGGTGAATAAGGATGATAGGCTTGTATGTTTCCTTGAATGTGATATATATGTTTTGATACAAGCGAGATTTTACTATAAATTTTCATCTAAAATTGGTAAAGGAAATAAAATTTTGAATTTGAGCAGCAAATCTTAACGTTAGCGAAACTAATGTCCCTTTCAGTCTAGTTAACGGAGTGAGGTAATATGAGATATAACGGATGAGTTTAAGATAGATTGAAACAAAATAGACGTGTAGAAAGTAAAATAATTTATCAGGGAAAAAATAACAGTGAGAAAAATAATGTATCAATCCAGTACGATCAAAATACGGCAACAAATCTACCTCTTAATTCAAGGTCAGCATTTAAGTTAATGTTGGCCGCCAGAACGACATCGTATCATGACACGTCGTTTTCTGCAACCCGCCGTTTGTGCCAAGCAACAGCAAGAGAGAGGCACATAGGAGAAGGATGGATAGCAAAGTGGAGGTAGACGAAGCGCCGCAGCCGGAGCTCCAATCCACCGCCGCACAGCCATCACCGCCTTCGGGTGAGTCAGTCAGCCTCTTTCCGTTTTAGATTCGTATCAATTGGGTTTTTCTTCTTCTTGGAAAAGCGAAAAGGTTTTTGGATTCTTCATTGTATTGTATGTGATTATGATTAGCATTTAGCAACTGCAACTGGGTTGGGTTCACATTTAATTTTAAAGGTTACCCAATAGGGCGCATATATGCGTAGCCAGGTTGGCTACAGCGGATGTGCTTTCTTTATGCAACCGAATTCGAATCCTTCCCCAGTAGTTTAGATTTAAGGTAGAATATCGCTTGTATCGACCAAAAAAAAAGTTACCCACTTGGCCTTGTCGCAAAAGTCTCTTATCTTTCTATTGTAGGAATGGAAAGTGAATAATTCAATGGAATTGGATTCCTTCCCTCCAAATCCCCTCCTGTCCGGACGTTGACGTGGTTTGATTGTGACCGTTCAAATAAGAAGGGATTGGAGGGGAGGGGGATTTGGAAGAATGTTCTTTAGAGCCTTTCATTTCATTGTGGGGTTAATAAATAGTGCAAGGTTTTCTCACATGGTGTGTGATTGTGATGTAGAAATAGCTCAAATGGTTTGTGGCTCTTGCCGCCGCCTGCTTAAGTATCCACGAGGAGCCAGACATGTCGAATGCTCGTGCTGTCAGACAGTCAACTTTGTTTTAGAAGGTTCTTCTCTCTTCCTTCACTTTGATACTTAGAGTAGCTAATAAGTTAAGCTTCTATATGTCTTGTTCTCACCTTTTTTCTTAGTTTTCGATAATTTATGATGATTTTCTATATCTTGCGCTAAAAGATATGGCGGCAATGCAAAAAGGGAAAGAGAGGTTGCAGTGGCATTGAAATTCCTACAAATAAGCCATACGTGAAGCTAAAGCACGACCTAAACTAACCTCAAAAAGGAAAATTTCGCAATAACACTCTAACAGATATGATCGGATGATCGGATCTTTTGAGTTGATTGAGCCCTCCAGTGCCTCACTCAATGTGATTTCCGCAGTCCATACGCAATGTGCAATACTTGGGTTCTACGCCAAAACTTCCGATGGACTTAAAATTGAGTCATGGACTTAGGTTGTTGAAGTTGGCTTCAAGTGCAATATGCTTATGAGAACAAAATTTGTCTTTCGCCCCGTACGCTCCTCATCACTGAATTGCGAGTAATTTATAATTCTATTGCTTCTCTTGTAGATTGATAGATTTCAGTTACCAGAGCCTTCGAGCCTATTCTCTGTGTAGTAACGTGTCATTTTCTCTTCTGCAAATGTATGTTCTAGTTTCTAATGGATTCTTTTTTTATCAGCTCATCAGGTTGGACAAGTTAAATGTGGTAGTTGTGCAGTGTTGCTGATGTACCCATATGGAGCGGCGTCCGTCAGGTGTTCCTCTTGCAATTTTGTGACAGAAGTTGGAGTAAGTAAACAATTTACTTGAAAAAGTAAAATAGTTACGTATGTGCTCTAGACATATCGGAGCCATTCATTTATGTATGTTGCGATTGTAATCCATTTGTAAGAGGTAGCATTCGGAACAATATTCCGGGATAATCACTAAGTTATGTCGTTATACTTCTCGCATGTTTCCCTAAGTATAAGTTTTGGATTTGTAGACTTCACAATTGGTATGATGCGATGAGGAAAGTTATATTTTTAGTCAGTGAGCATATAGTGGTGGTTGTACTTTCATGGAGTTGTTTCGTTGGTAGTAGTCAATATAGTATCATTACGAGGGAGAATAAGAAGAAAAGCACTTTTGAGATAAGTTGTCTGTCATTTGTATAGTTATTGCAAGTAGATTAGAATGCAATTGCTTTTGTTTCATTTGTGTGATTGTATGTGAAATGTTTCTTTGTAGGAACACAACAAGCGCCCGCCATGGTCCGTCCAACAGGGGCAATCACCAGCTCCTCCTAATCCTGCTCACTAAACTGCTCATGCGAGTGAGGCAGTCCGGAAATTGTTACTAGCATCCGAAGCTTGGCAGTACTCTGCCTTATATTGCCGTTGCATGGATTGGGGAAGAACGAAGGGCTTACACCAGAACTGGTTGATTTGATCTTCGCAGGAAAGGATCTTCTTGGTACGATCGACAATGAACAACTCTTCTCCAAATTTAATTTGCGACTGTATATGAAGTTAAACTGCTGAGCCATAATGAGCTGTTTCGGACGAAAATGTAACGAGACGGATTTGACATTATGTTCGCTAAACTATTTGAGAGAAATGATATGTTGTGTGACAACCAACAAAGATCACTGATCTCTAAAATTTTACTATGCTTAGGGTGCAAGCAATTCCCATGACGAAGAGAGAAGCATTCTCGAAAGTCATGGGAAATTATAGTACAACGGTACTAACGGACATTAACATCAATTTCGGTTCACTACCATAGCGAAACTGAGAAAACTACGCAGAACCATGTACTATATCATATTGAAAGTAATAACAAACGTAACACCTCGGGTTAACGGAGATTTAACGGCTGAATATTTGTAGCACTGCCCTTTTGAACTCTGAAGTGATCTTCAATCATCAGCCGGGATGTCCTCGTCGGAACCATTGTCCAAAAACGAACCAAGAGTCTTTCTCAGAACGCTGAAAGTTCTGTCGTCCTGTGATTGCAAACAGAAGAACAAATCTTGTTTTGATACATGTTTGCACAGAGAGAGAGAGAGAGAGAGAGAGAGAGGTACCTGCTTCTTCTTTTTCAGTGACTCTTCCGGTTTGGCAATTTTATCAGCGCAACCTTTCTCATGCTCAGAAATCAAACTCATTTCTCTCTTCCCTGACATCAACCCGCCGGAACATTAGCAATATCCGATTCCTACTTCACGGTAAGGAGAGAGAGTTTTCTTTTGCTTACTCAATTGTTCATATCGTGCGCAGAGCCTTTCCTTCTCTTCTTCGTACTTCGAAATAATTCCTGTCTAACAACTTCCACAGTTAGTAATCAACAAAGACCAACAGCGGTCATTTGCATTGTTCTCTCTCCCTACGTTTTGGATATAGCTCAACAGAAGCATTTCCTTTGCCAAAACCGAACAATAATGCCCAACAACATCGAGGGTCTACACATAGATTCATGATTATATGATTGCAAGACCTATACTGCGGTTCGGGTATGATCTTTAATTTCACTTTTATAGGAAAAAGGAGATGAGAATGCTTCGTTGAATGTATGTCCATATGAGATATGACAAGATTAAGAATGAGAATTTCCGAGGTAGAGTAGGAGTGGATGTTGAAGATAAGATAAGAGAAAATCGGATAAGATGGTTTGGACATATGAACTGAAGACCTACCAATGCTCCGGTTAAAAGATGCGATTATAAGACCGAGACTCAAGGCAAAGGGGGTAGAGAAAGACTTAGGAAGACTTGGAAAGAGACTAAGAAAAAACATGGAGTACTTGGAGCTTACGGAAGACTTGGCGCAAAACCGAGCGTAATGGTGTTCTAGAATTCATATAGCCGGCCCCAATTAGTGAGATAAGGCGTTTTGTTGTACAGGAAAACGGAGAGAGACCACAGAACTACATATAAAGTAAACCTCCTATCCACGAACCAAAAAGTATGTAGAAACATAAGTCAGTTTCTGATAGTTAACCTAGTCGCACTACCTTTCTCTCAGATACTGTGACCAGATTATATCGACTTGAATTTTTATACTACGAACTACGAAGACAAAACCGATGCAAGGAGTGATGCTGATTGGATCATATACTGTATGCCAAGAACTGACCTAGGCCTACAGATGGTTTGCTTGATCCTTTCAAAACTTTTCATAAACTGCTTGGAACTTGATAGCTTCAGTCTTCAAGCAGTTCTCACACTGCATACATAAAATCAAATTAATCAGAACAATAAATTAGGGCATTACACAATGCCTTCCAACATAACAACTACATATTCAAAAATTTCGTGCCGGATCACCAGTCGTTTTTTCCACAGCTCTTCGAAAGGGATTTAGCGAAACTTTGCCTTAAAAGTAACGAAAACAAAATGTACCCGATTAGTTCACTTGTTGCGAAGAAACCATTGATGTGAAAAATTTGAAAGAAGAAGAATCGATGAATCGGGAAATCGTACTTGGAGAGGTCGAGGTCGAGATCGAAGTGATCGGAATTCGCTATCCACGGCTCGGTCCTGCGCTTTTTGTTGCTCGCTTTGGCGGTCAACATTGTTGTCAGCGTTTGGAGCTTGAGGATTTTGGTTCGAAGGTTGATGAAGGTCGTTTGAGTCACTGGGTGAGATTCTCCCGCGCATTCAAATTTGGTGCTCTTTACACTAGCGAGTTGCGACTGATAAGTGGGCCAGGCCTTAACTCACTTTTGGGCTATAATAAGTGGGCCAAATAATAAGAAAACAAATTTTTTTAAGAACTTTAACGAAAAACTTCCGGTACTATTTATTTTAACGAAAAACCGTATTTTTACACTAAAAAGTCAATCCTGGTACTATTCACTTTATCCTTTATTTTGTCCTTATCGTTAAAACTCAAAGTTTTTAAATTATTTTCATTAATTTTCCTTTTTTTTTTTCCCTTTGAAAATGACTGTATAGTAGCATTTAAGCATTAAACATTTAGTGAGTTAATATTGTCCTAACTACCAATTACATGAAGCAACCTCGTAATATGAATCGATTCTATGTTTTTATTTTCGAGTCATTCTTACAGAATTTCACTTAAATCATAATCGTTCAGTCATTTGTTAATAACCGAAAGATTTATTTAAGATCTAGTTCAAGGACGATCGAGCCATTGAAAATAAGTTCTTCCAATTCCATATTTTACTTACAAAAATGATGTGAGTCGGCCTACAAGCAAGCACGAACCCATGAGGGAAATGACGCTTGCTACAATCATTGGTTTTGAAAAAATTTACGCACGTCATAAATTGTAAGTTGATTTATTCAATTATCGTGAATACTCTTCTCAATTTGAATGCATGTATAATACTTCATTGAGTACCTAAAACATGAAATATCCAAAAGAATGATTATTGTTGTATTAACTTACTAATTGATTTTTACCAAAAAAATAACTTACTAATTGATTAATTCTTGAGTGTCGATTAATTATTTATGTTAAATATTAAACGTTGTGAATATGAGGACTTGGAATGGTCGATATCGGCAAGTCAATAACTCACTCTTAGAGTCATGGGTCCCGATGTCCAAGCGAATTAGCATCCGAGTCCCTATATATAAACCATCGGTAGTCAATTTAGCTAAAAATATGGAAAGCAAAAAGGAATCCGATTTCAAATTGTAGATTTGGTATCTAGTCTGGTCCACCTTTGATCTAAAGTCTATAGACTCTCGTAAATCCCTCCTCCCACCCCCCAGCCCCCACCACCCCCCTACTTGTGTACTTAAAGAGGATTGTCGGTACTTGAAATAACATTGTAACAGTACTTCAATCAATAACATATTGTAGAAAACTTAATTAAGAATCATAATGTTGGATAATGCATCAACCTATAATGTATTATTTGGTCCCAAGTTGATTAGATTCTAAAGGTTTTTTTTAACTAAAATGGTCCTGAGATTGTCACAACTTTTTATTTTGGTAATTGAGATTTAAAACTGATAGAAGTGGTTTCTAGGATTGTCCACAATCAATCACTTCGGTCATTAAGTGAAAATTTTCCATTGAATTGAAGAAACCACTAGTTCAAGTGGAGGGGTTGATTTGACAAAAATACTCTCAGTTTAACGGAGATTTTTTACTGAATAACCAAAATGATTGACGGTGAATAATATTAGGATCACTTATATTAATTTTAAATCTGAAAGACCCAAATGAGGAGTTATGCTAATTTTAGAGACTAGTTTGGCTAAAAAGCTTATTCTAAAACTTCTTCAAGGACTAAATCGAAAGTTATTAGTTCGTTGCTGATTTTCAATTTAGTCTAAACCCTAAAAGTTCATCATGCATTCCTATTAAAGACAATCGAGAGAGAACTTGTTGTTCAAGGGCTTTTTTAGATAGATTTTTAAGCGTGATCGTTACAGATGACTATACCAACAAAATATTATTACTTTATTTTTTACCGTATTCCGTATAGACGTGGATGATAAGATTGATAAAACATGAACAGTAAATTCATACATTTTTTATAATAATAAATGAATAATATTATATGACAGAATGACATTCATGATAAAAAGCTCATCGACTCGTTAACATCATCTCTAGAATAATTCCATAAAATGACAGTTGTGGTTGTTCAATTTCCGTCGCATTGCGCAAATAGTGGGACATCTATGAAGCTCTCTGCTGACCTTTGCCTTGGGGCAGGCAGTCATTTCGTATAAACATACTGTGGCTAATTTTCTTTCAATATTTCTTTGGCCGTATGTGCTGTGTGGTGACTTGAGAAATTATTTATTTGTACCCCCGGTGTAATAATTTATCTTTCTCTCGTTTTTACAAAGATCGTCACAAAACTCTTTTTTTTTTTTAATAAATCAGTTGGTGATTTCGTCACGACAATTTATTCTTTTAGAGTCAAAAAGAGTCATAGAGGCATTTCAGCCTTTCTCAGGCCACCATCGTGTGATTCACCAGTACCAAGAATCGAATGCATGACGTGTCTTGTGAAATATGACTGAGAATTCGTCACCAACCATTGAGTCATCATGCGGTGGTTAGATAGTAACAAAAGTTGGCTACAAATATTTTAACAAAAAGAATGTGCTTTTCCAATGTGAGAATGTGATGACAAAGTCTCAATTATTGAGGGGCCAAACCATGCAAGAACTTATAAGAAGTTTAGGTATTTCTTATATTGTCAATTAGTTTTATGATGAAACCTTAAATTTCTTCATGTTATCAGAGCAGATTAGCATATGTGTGAACCCCAAAAGACCACATGTAAGAAGTTGGATTACTTTCCATATTGTTAATTGGTATTGCGAATTAGTTTTATGATGGGAGATATTGAGTGTTTGATTACAACAATAGTGAGAGTTTGAAAGAATATTTAATTTATAGGTGTTACATTGGGCCACATCAGTGGTCAATAAAAATTAGGTACTCAAAGTGAGTATCAAAGTATTATTCTTTATTTCAACTCAATGCGTTCTATGTGAAACTCTCATCGCTCTTTTTAAAATTTAGTATAAATTTCCGTTGTATTTAAAAAGAAAATAAAAAATCAATTCTAAAACTTCACAAGCATCGTCCATTAAAGGCCGGTATAGCTACGGAACTTGCGGCGGGATTTCATACACAATAAAATAATT